ACTGCACTCCAGTCTGGGCAACAGAGTGAGACTCCAACTCAAAAACAAAAACAAAAAAAAAAAAAAAAAGAAAGAAAGAAACTTTGTGAAGGCCAGGCACAGTGGCTCATTCCTATAATCCCAGCACTTTGGGAGACCAAGGTGAGAGGATTGCATGGGCCCATGGATTTGAGACCAGCCTGGGCAACTTGGCGAGACCTCATCTCTACAATAAATCAAAAAATAAACTGGGCGTGGTGGTGCACGCCTGTGGTTCCAGCTACTTGGAAAGCTGAGGTGGAAGAATCACCTGAGCCCAACAGGTGGAGGCTGTAGTAGCCCTGTGAGGGTGCCACTGCACTCCAGCCTGGGCGACAGAGGGAGACTCCTACTCACAAAAATAAAAAAAAAAGCTTTGTGAGCTGCTTGACATCACATTGGTCACTTGAAATTGACCATGGTGGGATTATTTACACAACAGAAATGGGAAAGCACTACAAATCCAGGAATCCCTTCTCCCTCCCCAGGGAGTGAATTGTTAGACGTTTGCCAGTGCACCACTGCTACCTTACCAAGCCCAGCTCAGCGAATCCAGCCCTCTTTTTGGGATGTCTCTAATTTGCTGCCCAGAAGGTGACATTGGTCTCCCTGGCCTCCTCATCCCCTCTACATAGCCTCACTCACTACTCCCTCAGGGCCTCTACCTCCTGATGTCTTTCTTACCACCCCAGCATAAGCAATCCTCCCTTTCCCTTGAGACTTTCCAAATTTTGATCCCTCCTTTCCTCTAGCTGGAACACCCTCAGATGAGACACTGGCCACTGACCCTCTGGGACTAGCCAAGCTGACAGGCCCAGGAGACAAGGACCGAAGGAACAAGAGGAAGTGAGTGTGTGTGTCCGCATACATGTGTGTAGGGCTGGTGGTTGTGGACATAAGTGAGAATTAAATGCTGGCGGGGTGCGGGGGAGGTGTCCGTGATCCTGAACTTGCTTGCCTGGGAACTTCTAGAGTTTTTCCTTATTTTTCCTCTCCTTTGATAGGGGTGGAGAGGGGAAGGATTTACAGAGATTCACATGTAACTTTTGACTTTCTGTTATGTTTTCTACACTCATAAAAAGGACTTTGCTGTGTGTGTGCATGAATGCATGTGTGCACAAGTGTGTGTGTGTGTGTGTGTGTGTGTGTGTGTGTGTGTGTGTGTGTGTGTGTGGTGAAGGGGGCCATCCAGAGGGTTGGGGTTTCCACCCCTGACAGTTCCTATTCTGGCCCCTGACTCCCCCAGGCACGAACTCCTAGAAGAGGCCTGCCGTCAGGGCCTGCCTTTTGCTGCCTGGGACGGGCCCACCGTGGTCTCCTGGCTAGAGGTACTGGGGCCCAGAATGTTGATCCCCAAGTCCTCTGACAGCCCCACCACTAGGGCCTGCCCGGGTCCACTCAGCACCATCCTGCTCCTAGCTTAGAGGTGGGGGTGGGGGTGGTCTGGGGACCTGGGAGGGGCCAGACTTCCTGTAAATCTAAACAGCTTCTTTCTCCTTCTACTTCTTCCCTTCTGGCCGTGCTGGTGTTTCTCTCTGACTGTCTGTCTCCCCATGTCTCTCTCTCTCTCTGTGAATTCTCTCTCTTTTTCTGCCTCACTCCCCATCACTATGTCTGTGTCATTCTCCATATTTCTACGTCACTGATCTCCCTGCCCTTGTCTCTGCGTGTCTCCCTCTTTTCCCTTCCTGTCTCTCCTCATCTCTGCCTCTTACTGTCCCTCTCCTTTCCCCTCCACCCTGGCACGGCCTCTCTGTCCTCCCTGTCTGTCTCCCTCGGACTCTCCCACGTCTCCTCCACCTCTTGTCGGCGCTGCTTGTCACTTCTCTCTCCCCATCTCCCTGTCTGCCCATCGCTCCTGCTTTCTCCTCCCATGCCCTCTCCCTTCCTCCCGTCCTCACTCCCTCCACTCCAGCTGTGGGTAGGCATGCCTGCGTGGTACGTGGCCGCCTGCCGGGCCAATGTCAAGAGTGGGGCCATCATGGCCAACTTGTCGGACACGGAGATTCAGCGCGAGATCGGCATCAGCAACCCGCTGCACCGACTCAAGCTGCGCCTCGCCATCCAGGAGATGGTCTCGCTCACCTCGCCCTCGGCCCCCGCCTCCTCCCGCACGGTGAGTGCCTCGCGGCCAATCCCAGCCTTGCCTCACTCAGAGCCCCGCCTCTGGCCCTCAGACTAGCCAATCCCGAGCCTGCTTACTCCAGCTCGTGTCCCACAACCCTGCTTACCATTGACTGTCACTCTCCTCCCCTTGGCCTCTCCTCTGCTCCCAACCCTGCCTTCCACAAGGCCCTTCTCAGGAGACCCGGTCAGCTCCTCCTTGGCACCTGCTCTTCCGGTTGCTTGGGACATCCTTCCTCCTATTTTCCCCAAGGCTGACTGTTTCTCATCCTTGAGGTCTTGTCACCACCTCCAAGAAGCCGTCCCTAACTCAACAACTAAACTATCATCCCCATCGCCCCAGCACAGCAACACCTTCTAATTTTCCCCAAAGCATTTACTTCTAATTATTTTATCCTTTCATTCCAACTGTTTAAGAATTTCAAACATACAGAAAATTATATGTACTCATGTCTAATTCAGCAATTCTTTTTTTTTTTTTTTTGAGTTGCAGTCAGCCTGTTGCCCAGGCTGCAGTGCAGTGGCATGCTCACAGCCACTGCAGCCTCGACCTGCTGGGCTCAGGTGATCCTTCCACCTCTGCCTTTCAAGTAGCTGGAACTACAGACATGCACCACACACCCTGTTAAATTTTCTGTTTATTGTAGAGATGAGGTCTCGCCAAGTTGCCTGGGCTGGTCTAACCCATGGGCTCAGGCAGTCCTCTTACCTCTGCCTCCCAAAGAGCTGGGATTATAGGCATGAGCCACCACTCCCAGCCTTAATTTAGCAATTCTTAACATTTTGCCATACTTGTTCTGTGTGTGTGTGTGTGTGTGTGTGTGTGTGCCGCGCGCGTGTGTGTTTGTATCTGAGGTGAATATCCTTTATCTGAGATGCTTGGGACCAGAAGTGTTTCATATTTTAAATTTTTTTGGATTTTGGAATCTTTGCATATAGATAATGAGATATCTTGGTGATGGGACCCAAGTCTAAACATGAAATTCATTTGTTTCATATACAACTTATACTCACAGTCTGAAGGCAGTTTTATACACTATTTTAAATTATTTTGTGCATGAACTAAGTTTTTTGTTTGTTTTTTTTTTTGAGTTGGAGTCTCACTTTGTCACCCAGGCTGGAGTGCAGTGTCACTATCACAGCTCACTGTAACCTTCACCTCTCAGGCAGTCCTCCCACCTCAGTCTCCCAAGTAGCTTGGACTATAGGCATGCACCACCATGCCTGACCAATTTTTAAATTTTTATTTGTAAAAACGAGGTCTCCCTATGTTGCCCAGGCTGGTCTCGAACTCCTGGCCTCAAGCGATCCTCTTGCCTTGGCCTCCCAAAGTACTGTGATTACAGGCATGAGCCACTACATCTGGCTGGAACTAAGTTTTGACTACATTTTGACTGCATCTGGTCACGGGAGGTCAGGTGTGAAATTTGCCACTTGTGGCTTCATGACTGTGCTCAAAAAGTTTTGAATTTTGGAGCATTTTGAATTTTCAGGTTAGGGAAACTCAACATATACTTGAATGTAATTTGAGGGCATCATAACAGATTAGCTCCCAAAATTAGTTCTGTGGGCCTTTTTCTTCTTCATAGACATTACGCCCTTGTCACATCTAAGGGCGTTAACATGGCTGTTAATTTCCTCTACTATTCCGTCTATATTCAAATTTCCCTGATTAATTTACAGTATGTTGATTGTGTCCCCCTCAGCATGAGGACAAGGGACAGGGAAGTCTGTTGTGTTCCTTGCCATAGTCTACACCCTGCAATGGAGCCTGGGGCCTGACATTCTCAAGAGCTACATAAATGAATCCTTACACGGATTCCTAATTCATAGGGTTGTGGGGAGTCATAACCCAATACATGTGTACCTCCCCACCCCCAAAACATTTGCCCTGTGGGTGTCTGCTCCCTCCTCACTGTGTACATCTGTGTGAGGTCAGAGACGTGACATCATTTGCACAGAGCCTCACAGCAAAATGTGCAGCAGCATCCCAATTCAACCTGAATTTGCCCAACTGCAAAGCCAAGTTCAACTGCAAAGCCAGTACACGGCGAGCGCTTAGTACTGGGTCACTCCTTTCCTGTTACTGCCGCCTGAGCGGGAAAGCAGGAGGTACATAAATGGATGGCCTGGGACCTTCAGGAGCACGACCCCTTCCCCTGCCCCATCCGGAGCCCTCTCCCACCCTCCACTGACACCCCCGCCCCTCAGTCCACAGGAAACGTGTGGATGACACACGAGGAGATGGAGTCCCTCACGGCCACGACCAAGCCTGTGAGTGCCCCCTGCCGGCGGTCTTCGGGGTGGCACTAACCCTCTGGGGGTGGCGGCGGGGACCGAGTCTGTGGCCGTCGACATGTCCGTTCCTCCCGTCCTCCTCTGCCTGCCCCTTAACCCACCCCTTCTCTTCCCTCTTCCCACTAACGGGTCAGGAGACCAAGGAGATCAGCTGGGAGCAGGTAGGGGGCGCGGGGCGTGGGCGCATGAACAGGCTGTGCACGCTGCATGGATGCCCCCCTGCTCCGAGCCCTGGCCCTAACCTCACCAGAACATCCCATCATCCTGGCGGGCATGGGGGTGGGAGAGGGCGTGCTCAGGCTCTGGCCTGTCACACTGGCTTGGCGGGGGCTGGGGGGCGCCGTGGAAGCCCAGGCTTTTCCATCGTCAGCCTGGTGCACGGGCCGCTGCATCACCATGGGCTGGTCTGTTGCTGTAACTAGAGGGAGACGCCGAGCAGCCGGTCCCCCCATGACTGGAGGGGGTGGGGAAGGGGTACCCTGGACTGTCAGTGTAGTAGGCTGAAGATGGTGCCGGCGAGACAGGCCAGGCTGAACGAGAAGTTGGGAGGGTGGAGGGAGGCTCCCCTGGACTCACGGGAGACTCCTGGGCTGTGGTCTGTTTTCCACCAGCGGGAGGTGTAGGGTTGTCTGCTGATGCTAAGAGGAGTACAGGACTCTGGACCCATCCCGAGTATTGTCCTGGGCCAGATACAATATTAGACTAGGTTAGTATTAGTCAGGACAGGGCAGGAACGATGGTTCCTTGGTTGGCGGGACAGCTAGTTGAAAGATGCCCTGTTCTGGCCTGAGGGAGTAGATATGACGGATTGAGATGAGGCAGCATTAAACCTGTGGCACACACCTCTGGTCCCAGATGCTTGGGAGGCTGAGGTGGGAGGATCGCTTGAGCCTAGGAGTTTGAGGCCAGCCTGGGCAATGTAGACCCGTCTCAAACAAACAAAACAAACAAACAAATAAATTTAATGTACAGTTCAGATCACCTGAGGGTCTTGTGAAAATGCAGATACTAGCCGGGCTCGATGGCTCAGCCTGTAATCCCAGCACTTTGGGAGGCTGAGGTGAGTGGATGC